CTGGGAAGAGAGGGGAGGGCAAAAGGGATTTTGGTTCTTCCCCAGAACTGAAGCTCTGGGTTCAAATCCACCCATTTGCGACTTAAAAATAAAAAAAAAGTGGGTAGCCTCAAGAAACACGACGTATTAAGATGCTGGAGATTAAAAAAAACCACGAGAACCATTATGGTGCATCAGAGTTCCCTTTTGCCCTCTCTTCCCACAAGCTTTGGACTCCAAGACACATAACCAGCTGGCTGGGGATTATGGGAGCTGTCCAGCGCGTTCAGGCCTCCCCGGATAGTCTTAAGGGAAGTCTGTTTTTCCTAATGGCTCACATCAAGATACTTTCCCCCGCCTAGCTCTTTTTCAACGTGATTGAACCTAGAATTTACCCCGTGTGAAAAGGAAAGGTCACTACCAAGTGTAGACATCTCGGTCCAAACATCAGAGTGCTAGGTGTCCAATCCACAACTGTTCAACAGCTGCATGGGGGCTGCCTCCCTACGCGATCCGCAAATCGAATTGACCCAGAGACTTTTTTTCCCCTCGTTTTTTTCAAACCAAATTCCTTATAATTGGAATTCTACGCCCCCGAATCCCGCTCATTTTTTCTCTCTCTCTCTGCACCGGCTAGAAAATCAGCAGAAGGCCAAGATGTTCAGCCAGTTGCTTGAAATGACATGTTTACTTTCCAAATGCCTCTCAAGCTGAGTTCGGTTATGCCAACACAGCAACTCCAAACATTATTTGTGGCACGTGGCGCGTTTACTCCAGTTAGGATCTGGGTTCTGTTGCTCAGTCAATTAGCCACCAAAGACAGTCTCAGCCTTGAACGAACAGAGCGCGGAGCCAAGGAAAAGATGCTGTAATTGCAGTTTAATTGAAATTATGAAGTCAGAGGGAAACGGGAAGGAGAGGAAATTAAGAATCCCCAGGGATCCGGGGGTTGTTAAGATGACGGATGGGCCAAAGAGAGGGAGGAGGGGAGGATGGGAGTGGTGGTCCATGCCCTCCGGAGGCAGCTGGATTGGGAGATGGGTCCTCTGGGGCAAAGGAGGAGAGAAATTGTCTTGTGAACAGGCCAAGGGAGAGGAAGGCCCAGACGCTGAAGGAAGAAGAGGCAACAATAAAAAGGGGAAGGATAGAAGGAAGGAAGGAAGGAGAAAAGGAAGGGAAGAAGGAAGGAAGGAAGGAAGGAAGGAAGGAAGGAAGGGGAGGAAGGAAGGAAGGGGAGGAAGAAAGGGAAGGGAGGAAGGAAGGGGAGGAAGGAAGGAAGGAGAAGGAAAAGGAAGGGATAAACAAGAGGGAGAAAAGGAAGGAAGGAAGGAAGGAAGGAAGGAAGGAAGGAAGGAAAGGGAGAAAGGAGAGGGAGGGAAGGAAGGAGTAAAGGAAGGGAAAGGAAGGAAGGGAGGGAAGGGAGGAAGGAGAGAGGGGTAGGGAAGGAAGGAAGGAAGGAAGGAAGGAAGGAAGGAAGGAAGGAAGGAAGAAAGAAAGAAAGGAAGGAATGAAAACAAATAGAAATTACTGTACAACAGACTCCAGATCGTGGATTCTGACTTTCTGGAACTGTCCAGCGACATTCTAAAATTCCCATTATCGCTTTAACAGATCCTACAGATGGGAAAAAGCTTAGCTCCTCCTCGATATAAAAACCACCCACCCTTCTTATTACAGGGCTGGAGCTGGGAATTCTACCAGTTCCTAAAAAAAGAACCGTAAACTCTTTTTCCTTTTTTTTTTTTTTTTTTGGCCAGGGAGAAGCTTTGAAAGGCAGCAAAGGGGAATCTTTCGACCTTTGCAAGCAGCCCAGGTGGGAGACAGGTGAGCCCTACCTGCCCAGCTGGGAATTATAGCTGTTTGAGGGACAGGGTCACGGGTGAGATGAGCGGGATGGCAGATCAACTCATCTGGGGGGGAAAAAAATCCAATTTATTTGCAGCTTAGGGTTCCCCAAGAGCCTTAGGCAGGTTCTAAACCACACACCGTAACATTAAACAATGTGTAGCATTCAGTTTTGTGGGTTTGTTTTTTTAAAGCAGCCTTGTATCCCTCTCTCCTCGCACAAGAAGGCCGCAACCCACATCCTGATATTGTTTAGAGCTCTTGGATTATAACTCCCATCGGGCTAGGATGCAGGAGGATGGGAGCTGCAGTCCATGGCGTCTGCAGGGGCGTCAAATTGGACTATGGGGGAGAGGAGAACCGACTTCAAGCTATGCTGAGGCCGAAACCCCCCAAGGAAGATCGTGGACCAGAGGAAAAACAACAGAGGAGCAAAATAAATTCTCTGGGAAAGCCACCTTCGGGGAAACAGCAGCAAAGGTCACCCCCCCAGCACCCCAAAATCTAAATTCTGCACCCCAAGTCAGCATCCATTAACACTCCGGGGGGAGAAACACGTTCCCAATCAGTTTCTAAAACCCCTCTAATGGAGAGACCCCACCCCAAAAAACAGTCCTTAAATGGGGCACCCTCTTGATGTCTAGCACATTCCTCCACCACCCCTGGCCCACACAGCCTGGTCTGGGGGCTCCAGGGTCAGGAAGGCACCCCCCAAAACGGGCAGAGAGCGCTTCAAAGCACCCCACGTCTTTCTCCAGCCTGCCTCTCCAAGGCAGAAACGATTCGGAAACTCCCAACTCGCGCGAAGGAGGGGTCCCACCCAGACCCCCCCCAATTTATCCAGAGTCCCAGAGACCCCCAAAGCCGACTCTGGGGGGGAGGCGAGACCCCTCCCCTCCTTCCAGCAGGCAGCTGTCCAGCTAAGAAGGGGGCGTCGGGGCTTTGCAAGGAAGACCCCCCCCGCCCCCCGAGCGCGCGCGCGCGCTTTACCAAATGGAGATGCGCTCCGCGGGGTAATCCAAGCGCTCCAGGGCCCCCAGGTAGTGGGGCAGCGAGTGCTGGGCATTGCGGGCCAGGATGGCGACCACCACGGTGGGCATCTCCTCCTCCTCCTCCCCCTCGCCCGGGGACTCCCCTTCCCCCTCCCTGGGGGGAGAGGAGACCCCCAAACCCAGGAGGAGAAGAAGCGCCAGGGCGCAGCGTTGCAAAATCACGGGCGGAGACATCGAGGCGGCCACGGAGGAGAAGGAAGAAGGGGGGCGCGGGGGGGGGCAGAGGAGGGAGCAGAGGCGGGGGCGGAGCCAAAGGGAGAGGAGGGGCCAGAAAAGGGGTGGGTGGGCTTGAATCTGCTCCCCGGAACCGAAGCTGCGGCGTCTGCATCCTTCCTCGCCGCCTCTTCTCTTTCCCCGGCGTAGAGGTGGGAACGTGGGGGCTGCCTACTCTCTTTCCCATCCCAGCTGAGGATGATGGGCCTTGCAAGTCGCTCCCCAACATGATAACCAACTACTAGTGGAACAGCTGGCGGTCAGAAGGTGTGGCTGTTCCATCACTGGAGGTTTTATAAGAAGAGACTGGACAGACACTTGTCTGGAATGGTACAGGGTCTCCTGCTTGAGCAGGGGGCTGGACTAGAAGACCTCCAAGGTCCCGTCCAGCTGGATTCTGATTCTCGCTCTTTAGATCCACGCCGTTGTTCAGCTGCAGGAGTTAGGCACCTAAAAGACAGCCAAATTCAGTATTCCCCCTTGTCCTAGAGGAGTGATCTCTAAATTGTGTTTTTTGGGGTTTTTTTTTTTAGCACCGTAACTTCAAATTGTCACTAAATTAGTCCACCAAAGCGCTAGTCCTCATGAAGTTTGCCCTTCCCCAAAAAAGGAAGTTGTTTCTTATTTCAGACCGTCCCTCCCTCCCCATGGTGTCCGTCACCGACAAATTTTGCCAGGGTCTAACCCTGCATATCCCCTCCCTTCAGAAAAAAAAAAGTGGAAGCGATCCCATTTTTCAAAACAGTGGCACAGCTTTGCCGCCTTATTCGACTTTTTGAATGGAATCTGTTTGGGGGGGAGGATTTTTTAAAAAAGTGTTTTCATGAAAATAGATTTTTAAACGGTCGGTTCACACGTTGCCCGTCTACGTGTCCTGCGTTGCTCTGAAGGCAAATCTTGACCTCCCCCAACCAAAGTTTTACTGCTTTAAAATTCTCCGTCCCTCCTCATCCTGTGGCTGAGCTACACATTTTGTTGTTGTTAACTGCGAAGTCGTGTCTGACCCATCGAGACCCCATGGACAACATTCCTCCAGGTCTTCCTGTCCTCTACCATCTTCTGGAGTCCATTGAAGCTCACGCCTCCTGCTTCAGGGACTCCATCCAGCCACCTCATTCTCTGTCGTCTCCTTCTTCTCTTGCCCTCCATCTTTCCCAGCATTAGGCTCTTCTCCAGGGAGTCCTTCCTTCTCATTAGGTGGCCAAAGTATTTGAGTTTCAAGAGCTACACATTACACTCAGCCAAAACATGACACTGAGATAGGATACAGCAACTGAGTTTCAGCTCAATTTCCCTGAAAGGATAAACTATGAAAAGGCTGCCATCTGCTGGGTAGAAAAACATCCTTTGAATCTGATTTTTCTGCATATACAGACACAGCTCATCTGTCTCATTTAGTGACAATTTGAAGTTACGGTGCTAAAAAAAAAAAAACCCAAAAAATTCAATTTAGGGATCACTCCTCCAGGACAAGTGGGATATACTGAATTCAGCTGTCTTTTAGGTGCCGTGAAATCTTAGCTTGCTTGTCCATCGACTCCCTCCATCTCTCTTTTAAAATTTTTGTCGCTCTCAAAAGTTGCGTCTCCGTCCTTAGGAGAGAATCTCTCGGTCTCCGTGGAGCCATCCCAGCTAAGCCCCTGTCCATGGTCCTTGCCAATCCAACGGTCCATTTAAGAGTTAGACCTTCAGAAACAGATCCCAGCCTTCAGATCTAAAGATGGACAGCTGGTCCTTCACGTATGTGGATGCGAACTGTGCATCTTCAGCTGATATTTATCCTTCAGAAGAAATAATCACATAATAATAACCACAAACTCAGGACTGAGAAAATGTGTTGTTCCACATCAAGGAATTAGAATCAGAATCAGAAGAGAGCTGGAAGGGAACTTGGAGGTCTTCTAGTCCAGC